TCACACTTATGAGCTACAGATCATTGGGAGGATAGAATAAATTTCAATAAGACGAAACTGCCGTCCAGTGCTTCCAGGTTTTCCATGGTGGTCTATCTTCAATTGACTCATGATCTCAACAGTTAAAATTACTGCAATCTCTACAAAACCTTTTCTGATATTAATCAATATATGCTCACTAGTGACTGACATCGAGAGCTACTTCCTGGAGTTCTAGTGAGAAGCAGTGACCAGTAGAGTTCAACCAGGTCCGTTGTGAAATAGTAACTCAGTGAAGACAGTGCTGGATGTGTTGCTCGATTTCGTGGATTAGTCGACGTTAGACATTAACACCATTAGATGCCGACTCAGTGATCTAATGGTTAAATGTTCACGCGCGAGACTAATAGGTCCTGGGTTCGAATCCCGCGGTGGACGAGATCGTGGGTGCGCATTGCTGAGGAGTCCCAAAATAGGACGAGTCGGCCGCCCAGTGATTTCAGTTTTTCTATGGGGGTCTAGCTTCAACAATTGAAATAAATATAAATCTAGTAATTTACAATCTCTATTTCATTTGATTAACGCTGTGTCACAAAAGTCATGTGATGCGATTTGTAAGTGATAAGTACCCAAAACTAATCCCCTAAATTTTCACTAGTTGTGAGACTGATTTACGTCCCTCAGCTTAAACAAAACTATAATCATCCAGTTGAATATTGTCCAAAGGTAGGACAATTTCCTGAAATGCAAAGCGTTTAAACAAAGAATAATTGTTATTTCAAAGCCAATTATCTCTATTTATTTAATAACGAACTAACGAAATAAAAAACTAACACAAGATTGATAATAGATACCATATGCAAAAAAGCCATTGTAATTATGCAAATCAATCGATTGTATGAAAATACAGATAAAACGGAAACCGTTAAAAATACTGAATGTTTACAGAAAATTTACAAAATAACATTCTTCGGTAAATATGGAATGAGTCACAGTTATCTTTACTCTCTTCTTATTTATGTAAGAAACAATATTCTTTACTCTATATTTGTGACCGATATTTTGCTTCAAAAATCGCTAGCAGTAAACAAATTTATCACGATTTTTTCTTGAAAGGGTTTATATAGATTATACATTCTATGCAAACGAGTATTATAGGGCTTGTAATTCAGTTCAAACATTTGGTGAAAATATAACATTTTTAAGAAAATTCTGTCTATATAGAAAAAGATCTCACTTATGAAAAACATCAACTCAGTTTTGGTTATTTTGTTGTGAGATGGTAACTCATTCAATGTGTGTGTATGTGCAAGAGTAGAAGATTATCATCTAATAGAAAAAATTGAACATCCTTACAATAATGAAATGTTCAGATGCATTGTTTCTAGTGGAGTTTTGTTCTCTAAGCTGGATAGTTTAGTCGTGGAGCTTTCATCATTCTTCAGAACGACATCATCAGCACAAACTTCAGGTAGAAGCTCCACAACCAAACCATCCAGCTCAGAGAACATAACTCCATCAAAATCATCCAGCTGAGCTACAAATCTTCTGCACCATCTCACAGATGTATTGCGTTCAGTCATTGTTCCAGTCTAAGAACGATTCCATTTGATTGTTGCATTGATTATGATGAATCATTAACTTAGTTACAAAGAAGAAACCTATTTGATCATTCAAAGTCTTATTTTTTTGGCAAAGGATTCACCGATTCATGCTCAGGCAATATTCACCATATATCAAGACAAAATAACATAGAACTCTGCACAAATGTACAAAGGTTAGCAGTTAAACTTCCCAACAATGTTGTACAATAGATTGAATATTATTAAAACAAATTGAAATAAGGAAAAACAAATAACTATTTGCTCACTTCTACACAAAATCGATTACTAAGGAACCTTGAATAATTCAAACGCAATTTCATTTATCCTTAACTACTTGCGAAACATCTTTCCACAGAGGGGTGGGAAATTATGAGCTTAAAAACGATATTAATTTCGTTTAAATTTTATTACTGAAACTAAACTATCTAAATTTCAAAGCAAAGATTAAAAAAACACAATATCATATGGATAATCTTTTCATGATCTGTTAAACAAAACTAAACTAAATTTTGTTAGTGACAAACACATGTGGTATGTCGATTATATGTATTTAGCCTTGAGTTATACTTTAGGTATAAGGGTTTGTCATACTAACAAGCTGAACAAAACCGATGTTGTTGAAACTACGTTTATTCATATTCTCCAAAGTGTTTGCAAACTGTAGGAACAAGAAAAATAAGACTGGTTTTTTTGGTTTTACGTCTCAAATACATACATTCTGTTAAATTTTATAAAAGGTTGGTAATAATTCTTCATTATTAAATAAACCATGGTATTCAGTTTTAACAAGAAAATATACATTCATATAATACCCGATTCAGCTTTATAAGCTTATGTGAACTATTATTTTACGGGAACTATTTTGGAAAAATATTTTCTACTCTATATAAGAGTATCGTACACATGAATTATTTTCCCAACCATCCAACTGTAACATAAATGAATTTTTGGTTGGGAAATAAATATTTCCTTTGACGTAAAAGTATATACAAGAATACGTGCTATCCTATAAACAACTATAGTGCTCGACATTATGACTAGTTAGTTAATTACTCAAGTATAAAAATAGTTCATTATCCAAGAAATCAATAATGAGATATCTAGGCGAAATAATATTCTTCTCAATTAGAGCATCTTGAGACTACATGTAAATGGTATATAATGCAACAAATAATACTGATTTAATAAATGGTATTATGATGATTAATAAAATTAATAGTGATGACAAAAGCAAGCACAAATCAGGGATGAGAGAAACTCTGTCCTTGATATCGTCCTGGATAATGTACTTAATTTTTAACCAATAATGCATATGCTTAAACACGGCTCTACGTATTTTTGTTTGAGTATCAAGTTAGCATCACCTGACGTGTGGTTATAAGTCGGTTACACAAAATTTTAGCTGATAGCTGAGTCACCATCAAAGTTCCGAACCTACAAAAGACTACTCATCTATGTTTATTCCTTTTTCTAGTCCAGACGTTTCTATGTAGATAACTACATATTGAGTTAAAACGATCATGAAGAATGGCATTTTTATTTTTAAACCTCATTCCATTATACTGACTCAACCCTACCTTATGGAGATACGACTCAACAGTTGTTGTATCCAGAACGATGAATCTATTTTTCCAACAATCAATTAATAATGAACGTTCCTACAAATATCCAACGCTTCCTTTTTATTATTTTGGATCTCTTCAACAAGATATTGATTATAATACACAACTTAATTCGCGCAAATAATACTTTAGTATTGCGTAATTTTTACTGATTATTTTTCAAGTCTTGATCAGCTTTGAATAATATGTATTTTTATTCAGATCGCTTACAACATGTCTGTCATGATGCAACTATTCTTTATTTTTTTATCACGTACATTTTGGTGAAAGATATTTTACCATGAAATGAACAAGAATTAACAGTGTAAAACTATGCAAACTAAAATGTAACTTCAGAACTACGCATTAGAAAATAGTCTTGTTCGATCGTATTTATAATGATAAACAAATTGTTTTCTTGATTTTATTAAATTGTATATATTATCTCCATTTTTTATCTAAATTCAGTTGCTTAAACGTTATGCGAGGATTTATTAGGTAGTTTAAAGATTGTTTTCAATATGTGGTGACACTATCTGGAGAAATATCTAAGTAATTAGAGTTCTGTTCTCAAGTTGATGTGGGGTCATTAATCTACATTACTCATAGGTCCCAAACGTGGACGAAACAGATGCCCTTAAACTTCATTCGTTTTCGAGCTGATAAAACTGCGTGACAAATATTATCTTAACATTTCACCACAGAATATCTCAAGAAACAATACTCTTGTGCCCACTAGTGAAAAGCTTTCAGATAAATCTCTAGAAATCTTAGTGCGAACTCGTATCGCCAGTCCTGATGTAGTCTGGATAAGAAATGTAAAAACAAAAACGCGTGCATCTATTACAGAAGTTCATTGAAGACAATTTAATTAGTACTGTTTCTGAATGACAAAAATATCCATCATAAATGAAAATGTTATGCATATATGTTTTAAATTACCTGTCTTTTACAAATATTTTTGTTCACTATACAATACAGCAATAAAGTAACATCTATCATGATAATTTAACAAGGATACTATGCAAGCGATTTCCACCACAACAGGATTACACAAATAGTGATAATTTGTTTGACTGTGAAATAGCCTGATCATTAAAAAATCATGGAACGGAATTTAATGCTACGTCATGCTGTCACTCAGCTTATTGTTGGTACTGATTATTGGGACACATCAAAAATTCTTCAAGAAAAACAAAATCTATGTAGTATCTTCCTTTCATTTAGATTATTTAGCAAGCACACTTTTATACTTCTTTTAAAATAATTAGGTAGATTTTCCAGAGTCAGTTGTATCAGCATTTTCAAACTAGACAAATTATCAAAGTAAATATATGTCATAAATTCCAATATGAGATAATTTGATTGAGATAAATGTACTAGATTTGCTTAGAGTTAACCTATTATCATTGCAATAAAAACTGAACCTGTCATAAACCAACATGTATCAAATAGGTAAAAACTGAGTCTAATGATCATATTATGGATTGACTAGTTGGTAGAGAAGATATGGAGCTGATACTAGAAATTCGGTGATGTATACACGGATTTGTAATTACACCATTTAAGACAGGAGTGGTGGTTACACATATTAATTCTTATTCACTATTGTACTATTTACATACTGTTTAACTAAAGTATGGGTTTGAGAGAAAATATATATTTTACAAAATACTAGGAATAATTTCATTGATGAATGAAATGAAAATAAATTTACCTATTTAGCTTAAAATCTCACAGTATATTGCAGATGATAATCGAATTTTTATAAACCACAAATTTATATTCAGTACGCCAAGTAAATTCACTAACTTACCAGCTGTAATTCTTCGAGTGTCCCTAGCCAGTCATCAAGTTCCGATAAATCCACATCCATTTTAAATTTTAAAAAGTTTCATGCTTAGTATAAATTTAAAATCTTTGAAACGTTATATAAAAGTTATTTATTGCCAAGAAATATCCATAATATCTGATGTATTCACTAGCATTTCATTACAAACGCATGTGTTACTGGTTAAGTGAAGCCAAAGCATAGTCAATATTGGTTTTAAGTCATCGAATCAGAATAAAGTATTGACTAAGAAAACAACCAATCAGATTATTGTTTACAAACATTGACTAATCAACTTGATTGGTTGGATTGTGACTGGTTTTATCCAGTCTAAATGGAAACGTCTTTACTTTTATGATGTTTATTAAATTCAATGATACAAGGTCAAATAAGATGTGACTGTGTTGTCCAAGAAACTGTTGATAATAACTTAAATGAGAGAAACGTGATTACAGTCTTTTGGCTGTCTTCTTTTTTTCTTTTAAAACGAATCTCATGATTCATAAAATAGTAATAAATAGTTTTACGATAATAAGATTAATTTAGATAGAACAATGAGGAAACTGAGTTGTTCCATCGAAATTTATGAAAGGGACTAATTGTTTTAAATAATTGAATCGAATCATACATTACCAATGATTTTTTTTGTTTTTTGTGACAAACTTAACTTACTAATAAATGAATCAGAAGAAATTTCCGAGCTGTTATTTCTTATTTTACAAGATTATTTATTTAGAGTGAGAAAATCATACGAAGTTTAATTCATTTTTTGTAATGGTTACTTGAATCTTTCCATTGATATTTAGGACTGCAACTTATCAGTCTCGTATTGGTATATGTGCATCTTGAATGGACTGCCTCGATATTGCTTGAAGTCACAAGCAATATAAGCACAGATAGATGTTGGGTGGTAGTGGAATATAGAACGCGCATTTTGTTCCTTCAGGACTCGTCAGCCGGATGTACATGAATCCCACAACTGATGCTCACTCTGGGACACGAAACCTCGTTTCCGTTTTTCCGACACAACGATGCTTTAAATAAATGTCAATAAACAAATTACTTCTGCGTTTTCTAAAATTTGCCAGTTCAAATGGACTGAAGAATCAGAATACAGAACGTCTTGAAACTCCAAAATATTTAACATTTCTCAACAAACATTATGTTGTCGTATCTTGAAAATAAAGTATTCAGTAAATGGGGAAACTTTTCAGTGGTCAGAAGTTCAAGTGTTTCGAAAAAATTATGGGATACAAAACATTTTTAAATTTAACACATGATTTTTCAACAGTAATTTTATAAATCGTACATGCAAATCTTATTATTTATCAGGACTCAGGGACAACCAGCTCAAAAATTCCACCAACAAAACATTTTACATCTCGTATTCAACTACAAGATAATACAGACATAAGTAGCGTTTTACCGTACTTACCTCAAGCAAACATATATACAACTAAGGTGTATATTAATCAGTGAGAACATTAAATAAATTATTACGGATGATAAAGTCAGTTAATAGGTCAGGAGGATGACCTTGTTGAAAACATCTTATCATAATTTGGTAGTTTAACCACGAAGCTTTCATTATCTATTTAGACAACAACATTATCAACACTAAAACGTAGCAAACACTTTACGATTAAGTTATCCAGCTCAGAGAATAAGGTGATTTATAAAACAAGGAAATGAGGTTTATGAAGTTGAATGTATCTACTTTGGTCTTAAGAAACAAACTCTTATGTTCGATTGACAATTTAGATAGCGTTAGTGCCTTCGTTGAGTTGGGGATTTTAATTATGAATATGCTATCATATTTTCAACACCGAAATCCATATCTGATTTAAGATATGGTAATTTTTCATTGTCATTATTATTATTATTATTATTATTATTTTCATTGTGCCTTCTCAGAACCTGCTGTTTTCGTAAAGCTTTGTAATCCAATTGATTATATTATGAGTTTAATAATTAATTAGTTGAACGATAACATAGTTTAAGAACAATGAAAATAATAGGGCATGAAAACAAAAGCATTCATGAGAATAATAAAATTTTGGAAGGCTATTAGTCATAACTAACGTGTTCAAAACAGAACAAATTTATTATTTGTCGAATATATATTATTGTTGGCTTTATTCAATATTATATTTCTGATACAGTATAGAATTCTCAGAAAAATGTATTTCAACAAGTTTCCGTTTCTTACTTCTTGGTCGATACTGACGATAAATATTGAGTGGTCGCCAGTTAAGATTTAGCAGTTCGGTCTATCGACACCTAAATAATATACATTTTTTGTGCTACATATTGCCAGTAGCAATGGCATCTTTGATTGAACCCTTTGTAATTTGTACAACGAAGGGTTGTACACTTTTCAGAAACACACCTGAATAGGTTATGCGATTAATAGACATAATGATTTATTAAAACAAACAAAATTAGATAACTTGTTGAAATATCTAGATGGAAGGGATAGGTAGCCCAGATATTCAAAAGGCCGCCATATATATGTAGTGAAAGATCAGCATGTTATAAGAATAGAACTAGTACAAAACACTTGTGGTTGAAGATATATACTAGTTAATTTTCAATGTAAAGATATCTTTCAATGTATCTTTTTTTATCTTTACAATTTATAAGTAGATTATAAAGAATTTACTAATATTCTATACATTCTTCATTCACAATACTATAATGTCATTATCATTATTAATTAAACCAGTAAAACTGGTTAAACAGGTTTTCATGAACATTATACTTTCTATGTTTGATTGATCAATGTTAGGTTTTTTTCTCTTGAATGATGTTAATTTCAATAGTTTAAATCATGAGTCAATTGAATTTATACCACCATGGAAAGCCTGGAAGCACTGGACGACCTTTTCATCTTAGTATGGGACTCTTCAGCAGTGCGCACCCACAATCTACCCCCCTGGGAGACTCGAACCCAGGACCTATCAATCTCGCGCTCAAGCGCTTAACCATTAGACCACTGAGCCGGCATCCAACGGTGTTAATATCCAACTTCAACCAATCCATAATATTAATTGTTGAAAATGTAAAAATGAAACCCCATACAATAAAAATTTTAAAAATATAATACATATTTTTTCGTCTCTAACTAGAATCAAGTATTCATTTAATTTTGTAAACAAAATAGTAAAGCTTCGGTTATTACCAATTTTGTTATTTTTGTTCGATTGTAATCAATTCATTAGATTATTGTGAATACGTGTTGTAAATAACAAACAAACGGAGAAATAGACAACTGTTTGTGTATATATATAAACAGTTATAGATTTCACAATGTTAACCATAATAATTCTTCGTTAGTATACCTAATAAGATAAATTTATGTGATTGCACCTTTACAGTAAGTTTATTTTGTTTTTCATAGATGAAATCAAGCTTGATTGACTATATTCCATTTTATACTATATTCATATAAAATAATCTTATCATTCAATAATATACAAGTTTTATTTTGTTTAAAATTATGTTTACAATTATGCGACAAGTTACATAATAAACTGTCAATATCTGTTTTTTTTATCTATAAAATTTTTACATTCTATGAACTTTTCAGGACTTTATGAAATTGAGATGTGTTTTAGCACTTAACACAAATACAATAGACATTCAAGTGTAATTCTTTGGAATGAAAACTTTATACAAGTTTACAGTTATATACACTTACCATTTATGACTCAACTGTTCTAAATTCTTGTTATGTCCCTAAACAAATACAGTAACACATTTACTTTAATTGAATGTTTAAAATTATTTATCACCATTTATGAATATTATGAAGTAATTCAAATAAATGAATGTTTTATTTAGTCATATTGTAGTGAATTTAGAGTCATCAAGTGGGGAAGACCAATTTATTGTTAATTGCAAGATGTGAAAAACATACATCAGTTACAAAATTTGTACATCATCTATCAATTGTCTTTTATATTCTTCATGACTTATTTACTTACTTTTTACTCTTCTGTTTTCTTCAATTGAATTTTCTCAACCTTCTGCTAGCGTGCATTCCACTTCCGATCGGTGCTACATACCAATTATACCTGTCAACATAGCATAAACAACCGTATGATCATTTAGTGAACAAAACAAATTTAATTCATGTAGATATTTAGTTAAATCACTAATGATTATACAAGTCATACACATTTACTTAAGGATAGTAGTGAAATGCATTAAACCTATTCATTACATAAAGGATCTTGATAATATGATTACGATACTAAACACTGAGCCAAAATAATAAAATGTAATAACTCATCACACAGTAAATAATCAAAGATATGTTGGTTAATAAAAGATCATTCATTAGTCACATCTTACTTTCTTCAAGAAAACCAATAGTGTTTCAGTAAAAATAAGTTGATAAATATAACCAGGGTCTTATCAAAATATTGTGCTGATCATTTATTGACTGTGTTTTGCTAAGATTTACTTTGAAAAACAATGAAAACTTTTTATATCTAAAGATCTATTGTTTTGCAAGCAACACATAAATTGACTGTCAATAAAAGTCGACTTTTCAAATAAACATGTTGACACTTAGTAGTTATTTAACCTCAATAGATATTAGCTTTCTGAGATTTTCAGAAAATCAATACCAGTCTATTAAACTTTAAAATCTGTGTGAGATTATGTAGTTACTTTCTCATTCATGGAGACTGTTTAGGAATTTCAATTACCAACATCTGAAACATTCTAAATCCATAATTAGCTCAGTAATATATTTTAACCTCATTACAAATTTTTACTGTTTAAAATATTATGACCTTCAGTAGCCTAATGCAAAATACTTAACAACACTGTGCTTACAAAACGTAAAATTAAGGCAAATATGAAGTAGCTTTCCAACTAACAGCCACTAGCTGGTAGTGAATATTGGAAATTAAGGATTATTTGGCTAACAACCAGGTGGGCATTTCTTAATGGAGAGAACAAATAGAACATGTCACTTCACTATTTTATAACTATTTGTCACTATTCACCTAAATATTAAAATTGGCTCGTAAGTAAAGTCAAGTTTGGCAGCATAATACAACTCTATACGATCTTTCTAACACTTCACCACTTCAATGTTTGAATTATGATATTATTATGACTAATTATACTATTCACAGTGTGTAATATTAATTGTTTATATGGTTAAAAATAATCAA